GGCTTCTTGCATTGAGTAGTTTGCATTTAAGGCCGGCAGTAGTTGGAATTGAGGTAGTTGGGGGCGTGCGTGCCTAGTCTTGGGTGATGGTGGATGGGTTGAGGTAGGGTTGTGGTTGAGGGTAAAAGCTGAGTATTGGGTTGCGTGGCTTACTTTTGATACAGTCAGCATGGTAGTCAATGTACAGGTCCTTCTCTTCATTGTCTAGATGGTTTTTGAGTTCGATGCGGAGTACACGGGAGCGGGCACGTTGCTGTATGGTTAGGTCAGGGCGGCAACAGAGGTTCTTATGGTTGGTGTTGGTTTTGGCGAGTGAGTTTATAGTATAAATGAATTTACGTTTGCTTGATTCATTTTTGCAAATGACCCTGCACAAGCGTGGGGCCACAGAGCCATCTCTATTTTTGAGCTCTCGGTCGATGTGGGAAATGTCAAGTATTTCATCAGCGGAGATGGTTGATGCTTGATAATCTCTGATGATGTTTCGGACAGTTGTGATGTCATCATTGACATTGATGTCTTCTAGACCAAATAAGATGGCGTTTGGACGTTTCCGTTCACGCTCAACGGCTTTTCTGATGAGGATTGGGATATCAATATTTGTCTGGGTTGTGTTTATTTGTGGATTGGGTTTTGGATTGGATTGTGGTTGTTGGGTAGAGATGTGGTTTGTAGCTATTGGATGTTCAGGTTTTTGCGTTGTGTCTTTTTTTTCAAGGTTGGATATTCTTTCTTTTACGGCGTCCAGGGATGCTACTATGGTGTTGAGGGATGTTTTAATGGTTTCGATGGTAGGGGATGTTTCAATGGTTTCGATGGTATCAACTCTTTCAGACAGATCCAGTTTGGGTCTGCATGATTTGCAGAAATATGGAAACTCATTGGATGATTCTAGGTATTGAATCATTTGCTCAGGTAATCCCAAGCAGTCATGATGAGCGTATTTTTTACACAGAGAACATTTGATGTAGTTTTCATTATCCTTTAGATTTTTGTAGCATTTAAGGCATGTGCAGGAGTCTTGTGGTTCATTGATGGGGATTATCTTTTCTTTAGGTTGTGGTTTGGCATAGGATTTTCTTTTTGGCATGGTAGGATTGTTAAAATAGTACGTTGATTGAATTAATTAAAGGAACAATTTTGGGTAATCTATATAGCCAATATTACATCAAACAATCAATTGCAGTAATCTCTCAAGTCAGATAATATTCCTGAGCAACAATCAGCCTGATCAATTAATTACTCTAATCACTAATCAATTAATTACATTAATCATTAATCACACTGTTCATTTAAATTCACTAAATCAATGATTTTGCTATTCAATTAAATTACATGAATTTTGATCTTTTAAACTAGTCAGTAATCACACTATTTGCACTAAACACTCTAATCACATTAATCAATTAAAAACAATAAATCAATTAAACCATTAATAAAATATTTTATAGAAATTGATTATCTAATCGTTGATATAGGTGATGAGGTAGAAAAGTTGTAAGTTTTGAGGTAATGAGGTAGTATTAAGAGTCTGCAAGGAACGGGTTAATTGTTTTACTGGCAGCTGAATGAGGATGAGAGGAATTTATCGCTCTTTGAATAGCAGATCGCTATTACTCTGTAAACAGGAAGTTGTAACACAATGTTCCAAGGGTTTTTATCCGAGTGAAGGAAAGATTGAACAGCTCACAGGAAACTATTTGTTTTTGTTTTCCCTTGATGGATGAGATTTCTGGGCCCCTCCTAGTTAACTGAATACACTATCAAAGTTTGTTGCTTTTAAGAGAAAGAGGCACATCTTGCACTGGTAAATTCAAACAGTTTATATTTTTACTGTGTAGACTCAGATTTGTATTGAGCATTCACTCCTGGCTTTAATATACCTCTGCTTCTATCACTCCTGGAGTCCGGATTAGCAATTTGGCGAGGAGAAAGGAGGGAAGAGGGAAATGGGGGCGGCAGGGAGGAGGCAGTCTGCTTCACACCCTAGCTGCAAACTTCTGGAGACAGTCTCACAGCTCCCAGTGCTCACCGCCCTGCAAGGATGGGATGAATCTCACCGACTCCAAAGATGATCGTTCTCTGGGCTCTCACCGACTCCAAAGATGATCGTTCTCTGGGCTGGGTCGCTCCTGGGAAAAGTCAGATTCTCACTCAGCAGTCGAGGGGAAAACTCTCGAAGTCGAGGGAAAAGCCACAGTTGGAGCGCTCTCGCTCAGCGATCCTCCCGGCCGGCGCTCCTCGGGCTTTCCTCCCTCTCTCTTCGGAGCGAAGCACCTAGCTTAAAGTGGCTAAGGTTGAGAAACACCGTCCTAGACTAAGATGATGCATTAAACAACCCCCAAAATCTGGTTGCAGCTTTGCACAAACCAGGTGCTTCTGTCCAGCCTTAGTTCACCTGCGGGGTGTGTGTGTGTGTCTGTTGTGTGCTCTCGTGTTGTTGTGAAATATTCATTAACTGGTAAGACTTGTAACATATCATTGTATGTACTATGCTTAAATCCAATCTTAGTTCAAGGTAGTCTAAGCCTAGAATCTCAAATCTGGTGGTGTAGGGTATTCTGTTGCGAACAGAGGAGTGTAGTACTCTTCTTGTAAAATACTTCTGGACTCTCTCAATTGTATTAATGTCTGATATATTATCACATTATTCCTTGAAATCTTACCAGCATAAAATAAGCAAAAAGTGGAAATCTGGCCTGAATCACAAAGCAATTTACCAAGCCCTGGTGTTGTCTTTACTGCTCAGAATCACCATGGGTAACGTAGGGATCTTTTAAAACAAAACAAAACAAAACAGAATTATAGCCCGAGGAACATAACTGAGGAATTCTGGGAACTGAAGTCCACCCGTCTTAAAGTTGCCAAAGTTGAGCAAGACGTCGATGTATTGCATTTCAACCCAAATTAATAGTGAAGGGTTTTTGTTGTTGTTGTTGTTGTTATACATTTCTGGCTTGCATTACAGTTACGCATGGGGATCATAGGAGTTGTAGTCCATCCCATCCGGAGGGCACCGATCGGGGGAAATCAGGCTTAAGCAACAAACCGTCATCTACAACAGCGCCCGGCATACGTAAGTAAATAAGAAAGAAAGAAATATCCAGTGCGCACGCGCAGCAAGCCTCCGCTGCTTCTTCTTCTTCCTCCTCCTCCCTTAGAGGGCAGTCGCGAGTTGCGCGCGCATGCTCAGTGATATTCCTTTAGCAGTGTCAATCGCGGGAGAATTTGAATCTGGCAGCGAGAAGCGCCAAATCGAGTCGGCTATAAATACGAAAGAAGCAGGAAAATGATCCAGGCAGTCCGTGGAAATAGCGTCCGTTTGAACTGAAGCCGGACTTGGCTGGGGTAGGGAGCGAATCCCATATTCCAGAGTCTGTAAATAAAAGGCGTTCAAGTTACTAAGCCCGCAAGAGCCTGCAGCAAGGCGAGCCAGAAAAGCGGGTGAGTGTGCTTGTGTTCAGTACTCCTGATGGTCGGTCTCGGATTATGGGTATTGAGGTAATCTACGAGGAGGAGGGGGGAGACGGAGAAGGGCTTTCGTTAAGTGAGTTTCCTCGTGCCCAGGATGTGAACTTAAGGCCTCCTTAGTGTGATTCCAACATGCGTGCATGTGTAGTTGTGCTTCTGACCTAGGTAGGCGATCAAGTACTTGGGTATGTGCAGACTTGGGTGTAGCCCTTGTCTGGCTCTATGGAATACAATAAAACTTATACCTATTATCTTATAATCGCTTGACAAAATAAATTAAATAAATAAACTGGATAATTTGTGGATCTGAAACTATAATGGATATATTTGCTACAAGAGAAAGCCTCGGGGGTAATTCTCGCAGACATTGACAAGTTTTTTTTAAAAAAACCTTTCAACAGATTCTGGATCTTTGTGTCTTTTAAACTAAAGTATTATGGTTGGATTATGAATTTATCTCTACCATGCTGTTTTTACTTTGCTTTGCTGGTATATAACTTTGACATTCATTTCCAGATTGTGACATAGAGAATTGGTATAGAAATAACATCAGTGAGAAGTGAAATTTAATTCCTTCTCATAGAAGGAATTTAGAGAATAAATATGTTTTTCTTATAAAAAATAAACAGGAGTAGAATGTATGCTTTTTATATATTTTTTCTGAAGAGTAAAAGCTATGCAATGCATTATTTTTTTACTTTGTGTTTTATATTTGATCAACTTTTACTGTTAAACAATTTGTTAATTGTTTTGTTCTAGTCAGCTCTTTAGCAAAATAAAGTTTGATCTACTAGCTACTCTGTGGTAGGAGCCTCGACACAGTGGTTAGAGTGCAGTACTACAAGCTACTCCTGCAGCCAGCTGCCTACAGTTTGGCAGTTCAAATCCCACCAGGCTCAAGGTTGACTCAACCTTCCATCCTTCCAAAATGAGGACCCAAATTGTTGGGGGCAATATGCTGACTCTAAACCGCTTAGAGAGGGCTGTAAAGTACTATGAAGCAGTGTAGAAGTCTAAGTGATATTGCTACCTCAAAGGCAGAACAGCAAAATTGGTAGAAGATTGCAAGCCATTATTAGAGCCACTTTCTGAGGTAAACTGCTCCTGAGCAAATTTTTAATCTAGCATGTTTAAAAAGTATGCATATTTTTGAAAACTTGAGGGCCAACAACCCAATACAGTAACACTTAGGTGAAGTACTAAGCAAATTGAAAGTTTCTTGCCTCTTTCCTAAACAAATATTTCAGTTTACATATGATTCTTCAAAAATCAGTGTTATGTCTTTCAACATTATTTCTATATTGTAACAGATAGCAGTTCCCTGATCATGTTTTGTTATTTTTTTCTTAGAGTTTGTCTGTGATTGGTGACACTGTCTCAAATCACATCAGGAAGAGCTTTCTGTCAGATAGTGATCAACTGTACCAGCAGATGGTTCTGGGAGTTGAAGTCTACAAGTCTTCCCCACGGCAGATGGTTATGTCTATATAGAATGCCAGATCCCATTATCCTCAAAAGTTGCAAAATTTTGAAGTGCAATTCCAAGAAGCTGTTTCATTCTTTGCTCAGCTTATGGTAATTGCTAGACACACAGTTGTTGTTGTTGTTTTTTAAAAAAAACAAACAAACCAGTGGCTATCTTGGGTGGGAAGGAGAGGGGAACAGTAACAGATTTCTTTGCAACTCACCAATTTTTTTAGGAACTTACAGAAAATTCCCAGGGATTGTTAGAAATTCTGGGAATTAAAATCTATTTATCTGAAGGCTGACCAGCTGGTTGGTTGTTTACTAAATTTAATACTGCAAAATTATTTTAATTCATTTTGAGGTGTATTTCCACAAGCTTAGAACTGAAATCTTGATCTGGTAATAAACTTAGTATCCTATGAAATTAGAAATTTGGCTGAATTGCAATTCATTTAATTGTCTTATTGTTTGTTACAATATTTTCCCCCTAGACATCTGAACTACAAATAGTATATCATGACAAAACGTGAGGTTTTCCTAAAGGCTGTATGTAAGGATTCCATTAAAGAGTTTTTGCATTTCATCCAGCTTCACGTAAGTAAATATGGCTAAACTTTTTGTGTCCAGAATTGGAGGGGAGGAGAAACTCAACCTTCTTTACCCATATAAAAAACAGGTGGAGCTTTGATCACACTATTGTGGTAACATCTTGATTTTTTGACCATATCTTACTGGCACTTCAGGTGACATTCCTTTAGTCTTTTCTGAAGTATTTTCCCTTTCCCTTCAGTATCTCTCCTCCTCCATGTTAGACTAGAGCAGTGGTGGCTAACCTGTTTGGGCTCCCATGCTGATAATTGCATGCGTGCTTGCCTGCTTGTGCTCATGTGCCAGAAGGCAATGTGCACACCCCCCCATGTCTTCTGCGCATGCGTGTGCAACCTGCATGACCTGTGCTTCTGCGCATGTGCGAGTGTCTCCTGCGTACCGCTGCACCCCCATGCATGTGCGCCAGATACCCATCAATCAGCTGTCGGGCGGCGCACGCGCAGTAGACCTTTTCTGGGCGAGTACTCGCATGTTGGCAGTAATGGCTCTGTGTGCCACTTCTGGCATGCATGCCATAGGTTTGCCACTATGGGATTAGAGTAAGGACTGAAAACTTGCCAATCCTTTGTTTTGTCGAACTTCTCTGGAGGTTTGTTTGTTTGGTTTTTTTTAGAAAAAAATCAGTATTAAGACCAGAATAACACCAGTTCTTTTGTGTGGGTTTCTAATTCCTTGCTCTTGAATCTTATTTTTATTTAAGTTAGACTTTTTTCAGCTTAGACTTAAATCTGAGTATCAAAAGAAATCACCCTATAAAAACTTACTTGAAAAATAAGTGTTTTGGTAAATAGATCATTTACAGGTAATAAAATAGCCATAGGGGGATCATTTCTTTTTTCTTTTTCTATGTGTTTCATTGAGATTCATTATAACAAGTGAAAATAAATATTAAGAAAAAGAGGTTCATTCCTCATGTAAGTGTATATTTAGATTTAAGTTGCTGGTGGGCTTACATTCAATAAAAAATATATCAACCAAACAAGTTGGTCAGAGGTGATAATGAAATACCTATCTAGAGTTCTTTTGGGCATAAGTGATGATTTCTTGAAATGAAATTCTTTTAGATACTGCACTTTTTGTTGTTGAAAAAGGAATGTTTTTTGTTCAGTTTTCTTTTGGTTAGCATTTTATTTTATCATCAGATAGCATTGATATGCAAAGTAACAACTTAGTATATCAGACAAATAGTTGTCCAATCTCTTCTTTAAAAACCCTCAGTGTTGGAGAATTCACAACTTCTGGAGGCAAGTTGTTCCACTGATTAATTGTTCTCACTGTCAGGAAATATCTCCTTAGTTCTTGGTTGCTTCTCTCCTTGGTTAGTTTCCACCCATTGCTTCTTGTCCTGCCCTCAGGTGCTTTGGAGAATAGCTTGACTCCCTCTTCTTTGGGGCAGCCCCTGTGATATTGGAACACTACTATTATGTCTCCCCTAGTCCTTTTTATTAAACTAGACATATCCAGTTCTTGCAACCTGTACGTTTTAGCCTCCAGTCCCTTAATCATCTTTGTTGCTCCTCTCTGCACTCTTTCTAGAGTCTCAACATCTTTTTTATATTGTGACGACCAAAACTGGGTGTAGTATTCCAAGTGTGGCCTTATCAAGGCATTATAAAGTGGTATTAATGGTTCACATGATCTTAATTCTATCCCTCTGTTAATTCAGCCTAGGACTGTGTTGGCTTTTTTGGCAGCTGTGATACAGTGCTGGTTCATATTTAAGTGATTGTCTCTCTCTCAGTTACTAGTATTGAGCCAGGTACCACCTATCCTATAACTGCATTTGTTTTTTCTTGCCTTGTCTTGTAGGGCTTTACTTTTATCACCACTGAATTTCGTTTTGTTAGATCGACCCAAGTCTGTCAAGATCCATCTGTATCTTCAGCCCATCTTCTGGAGTGTTGACAATTCCTGCCAGCTTCCTGCAAATTTGATGAGTTCCCCTTCTATCCTATGGTCAAAATCAGGGGTCCTCAAACTTGGCAACTTTAAGACTTGTAGACTTCAACTCCCAGAATTCCTCAGCCAGCTATCCTGGCTGAGGAATTCTGGGAGTTGAAGTCCACAAGTCTTAAAGTTGCCAAGTTTGGAGACCTCTGGTCTAAATTATTGATGAAAATATTGAAGAGTACTAGGCCTAAGACAGGCTTGGGATATCCCACTGCATACTTTTCTTCATGTAGATGCAATTCCATTAAGGACTACATGTTGAGTGTAGTTGGTCAGCCAATTATGAATCCATCCATGGATACTCTCTAGTAATCGTTCCAACTTACAACTGCAATGAAAAAAGTGACTTATAACTGGTCCTTGCAGCATCCCCTTTGTTATCTGATAAAAATTTGGATGGTTCGGAACTGACAAGTATTTATTACTATTGCAGCATCCCTGGGGTCATGTGATTGACATTTGTAACCTTCCTAGCCAGCTTCCAACAAGCAAAGTGTGTGTGTGTGGGGGAGCTGGATTTACTTAACAAGTGCAGTGATTCACTTAACAACCATGCCCAGATTATAAGATTAGGTGCAATTCACTTAACAACCACTTTGCCTAACAATGGAATTTCTGGTCCCGATTGTGATTGTCAGTCAATACTAGTTTACTTTATTGTCATTGCACCTTGTACAACGAAATTAAATGCCATCTTCAGTGCACATTGTACGTAAGAAAACTATAAAAATAAAACAAAAACATACATCTTTCACATTCTATACAATTGAATTGAAAACCCCTGATACTACATTAGTATTACACTATACAGTAGAATTCAATATAGTTACTGCTCTGGGATAGAAGCTGTTTTTCAGCCTATTTGGCCTTGTTTTTATTGCCCTGTACCATCAAAGACTACCTGTAAGAAAGCTCATCCAAGTGGACATGTGTAATTGTAGGGATATAATTAAGATTTTTTTAAAATATAAAAGTTGAATTTCTATTTTTTTTTTAAATGGGTATTTGGTGGCTTTTTAAAGCTCAAAACTTGATTTTACAATATAATGATGTGTAGTATGAAATAATCTACTATTCTTGGTCTATATTTTTAGGAGGATGCATCAGATCCCTTTGATCTATGTGAACTGGTTCAAGAGCTATCAAGAAAGCAAAAGGAGATATTGTGGAATAGATTAAAGAGCTTGTTATCAAAGGTTTTGCTAGATAATCCCGTAGAAGAATGGCAAAGAATGAAGGATGACAGCATGGAAACTGAAAAAAATGCAGCACAGGTAATTTGCCCTGAATATGCTAGTTGCTTAACATTTGGGTGCACATATCCTTTTAAAAGTAACATACTTAAGATTAGTTTGGTGTACTGGTGAAGGTATTACCCTGAAAACCAGCAGACTGAATTCTAGTGCTGCCTTAGGCGTGAAACTTTAATTGGCTGACTTTAGACCAGTCTCTCTTTGCAGAACCCACCTCACAGGGTTATTGTGGGGAAAATAGGAAGAGGAAGGAGGATTATGTATTTTCACATTATAAAGCAATTAAGGTGGGATAAAAAAAGCTAAAAAAATTAAAAAAAAATGACTGAACCATGTTCTGGGTTTTAGATATTGTTCAAGCTTTTTTTAAAAAAATAATATGACTATTTACTTCAGACTGAAACAGTGGTTTTAGCTAATTATTGCCCATTTAAATTGGGTATTTCTTGATTTTCTTGCTAGAGGTATTTATATTTATATTCATTTATTTAATTTATTATAGCTATGCAATATTCTTTGAAGCAATATTCAACTCACCCCAATAAAAACAGGAAGTATAAAACCACAAAGATAATCCGGAGCTTTATTGAGTATATTTTATTGAATGTTTATTGACTATAGAGGACACACTTAGCTATTTTTAACACAAATGAATTTATATCTGAATAACACCAAGCCAATAATTCTTTCAAAATCTTTATTTGCTGGATATTTTGTAAAAATGTGTTTGTTGAATCTTCTGAGCTTCTCTTTTAAAAAATATACTTTTGTATCTTTTTAAAGTCTATAGCTTTCTTTTTATTTGTCTCTGAATTTTCAACAGCAAACTACAGCTGTGATTCAAGGTGTAACAACTGTACTCACTGCATCCATTCCTACATTAAATGAAAATATTGACATCAAAGCTCTTTTAGAATGTGCTGTGATATTAAATGGTATGTATTGTGGGTATGATGAATATAATCTGTATGCCTCTGACAGTAGTCTTGGACTGATGCTTGTGCTTTTTTCCCATGGAATTGCATATTTTCTTAAAATACTTTTAATTTATCGAGGTTGTGCTTCAGTGGTGCAATTTAGAGTGATTGTATATTCTTCATAAATGCTTAGCTCTTGTTGTTTTGAAGATTCTCTTACCAGCAAGTAGTCTAAAATGTTGATGTAAATACTGAATCTGCTGATGTGTTTATTACTTGAATTTTTGAGTAATGGCCTGATTTCCAAGCTAAATGCTCCTTTGATTGAATGAGTTTCAGATTGGAAAACATTATGGTTAATTTTTCAGAATCAAAGAAATTTGGTTGGACACCAATCTATCCAGAATTGCATTAATTTTGCATGATGAACCAGGCTATTTCTTAAGGAATATGTAAATATAGGCATAGTAATTCTAACACTAAAATAACTTTCTAAAAGGGTTTTTTTTTTACAGTAGGCATAGTGATGTCTCAGATGTTAATGACTACCTAAACATATCTTAGTTCTGCTATATCATATGCAAAATGCAGTCCTGATTAATCAATAAGCTCAATTAATTCTACAATTTGTTTTTACTTTACACATACAGATAAACACACACACACATTCTGTTTCTTTCATTGACATATGATCACAGTTGAACCTGAAATTAGGACCATAAGTTGTTGTCTTGATAAGTCATGGCATCCATGTGACTGGAAGTAATTTTCTGGTCTTTTTTTGTGGCAGTCATTAAACAAACACTGCAATTGTTAAGTAAACCCAATTCATTTGAATGGATGGGTTGGTTTTTTTTTTTTGCAAAATATGTTACAAACTGGCAAGAATCATAGTAAATTGCAGTCATGTGAGGGTGAAAAGTAACGACTGGTCCTAACCCCCCCCTCCCCACACACACAACATGTCATGCGCCTGTGGGTGGAGGTGGCATGATCATTTACAGCAGCCAGGGTTGCTTCACTGGCTGCAAAACATCCTTTCCATTGCTGTCATAACTTTAAACATTTATAAATCTCGATATGGGTAGTCCCTGTTTTGCAACTGTTTAAAGTTGGTCTTTAACTATCATAAAAATAGTTGATTCCTAAGAGTCATGGGAAAACTAGAGCCGTGATGGCGAACCTATGACACTCATGCTGGAAGTGGCACGCAGCCATTTCTGCCGGCACATGAGCTGTCGCCTGGAACTGATTCACCGCACATGCGCGCACGGCCCCCCCGCCAGCCAGCTGATGGGTATCTGCCGCGAGGGGAGATGTGCATGCGGAAGACGTGCATGCATGTGCAGGGGGGCACGAACGGTGTTTTTTGCAGAGGCGCATGGCACAGGGGGTCATGTGTGCATGCACAGGGGGGGGGGGTCGCACATGCATTGCATTATGGGTGCAGGCACACGCACACACTTTCAGCATGCAACGGAAAAAGGTTAGCCACCACTGCTTTAGAGGCATATGAAGATTACATTCTTTTTGTTACCCCCCAAATCCATTGCATTTTCATTAAATAACTGTTACAGGCATCCTTCCTGTACTACCGGATTCTGAAACATCTCTGTCGGGAGCCATTCAATACCTTTTGCAATGCTGGTGGAATAAGGGATTAGAAGGAAAAGAACAGCTTGGCAAAACTGCTTTTTTGATGTTTCTGAAGAAGAGTCTAGAGAAGAAAACCATTGTGGTAAGCAATATGTGTTCAGTGCCTAAAATTATATGTATATGTTTGAGATAGACTAAGCGCCACTTTTGTGTTTTAATGTACACCGTGACTCATTTAAAGGAGGTTAATTTCCTTTTCTCTGGATAAACCTGAAGGAAGTCAGATGCTTTTGGAAACATTGGCAGGAATGGATGCGTAGGTAATAAATGATATATCCCTTGGGTTGAATTATATGCCAGGTTAGAGTAACAAAGCATCTAGGCTCCAAAATTTACGTTCCCAGCAAGAAGCTGTTCATGGGAAACATCCACCGGATCAGCCCCAACCAGATGATGCTCCTAGCTTATGCGTGAATATCGTGCATAACACTGATGATCACAACACTTGGCATTCCTCCTTGTATTTTTTGCCAATTTATGTCTCTTGCCTCATCAGTGACATGGAATAATCTTACTCGTCTCCTTTAGGGGTCACATATAACCTGCCTATGTCACCTTCAACTGGTTCTGCAGTGTTTTGATTATGACTCAGAAGAGAGTAATGAAGTTAAAGATTTGTTACTTCACTGCTTTATGAGCCCAGGCTACATTAAAAGAGAAGAGGTACGAATCTATGTATTTTTAATGCGTGTGGACTTCTTATATATATACCATAATGGTGAACTCGTTGGGTAGAATAGGCTGATATTTTATACTGTGTTGTGTTATTTATATTTTTAATTATTGGCTGCATTTTTATTGTTTTTATTTTGCTATAATTGTTCGCTCCTAAGAGTCATGTAATTAAAATGGGTGGCCTTATAAATTTATTAAATAAATTAATTTCCTGCAGTGCAGATATATCTGGAAAAGAAACTTTAAAGAAGGAGTGTAATTTAAATATGTTATCGAAAACCTGAATAATGCAAGATAGGGTTCCCTGCTTTCTTGAAAAAAGGAAAGCTAACTTTTTGGGTGCTTACATTTTGTTTGCTTAATGTTTTTTAGAAACGTCTGTAATTGCACACTTCATTGTGAGTATATTTAAAAGCTTTCCAGAGCATGTTGTACAATCTAATCCTATAGATAATCCTTGATTTATGACCATAATTGGGCCCAGGAATTATGGTTGTAAGTTGTGCTGATTAAAACAGGTCATCACATGGCTATGCTCAATTTTACAACCCATTTTTGGCAGTTAAGCAAATGTGGCAGTTTTGGCAGTTTTTAAATGAATGCTAAAGTTGTTAAAATTGTCTACAGTGGATATTTTTGACTTGAGCCTGGAAGTGAACACTGGTTTTCAGCAAAAAGAAAAAAAAGAAAATAAGATCATGTTCATGTGATTGCAAGATACTATAAATGCCCATAATTGTGGCCTGGTTCCAAAGCAATCATATGACCACAGACAAACTGCATTTCCTGCGTCAGAAGAGGAGAGCACATCTTTCTCCTTCTATCCTGGCCACTTTTTACAGAGGCATGATTGAGAGCATTTTAACAAACTGTATCCCTGTTTGGTTTGGTGGCAGCAGTGCCTCAGACAGAAAGCCCGTACAGAGAGTGGTAAGGACAGCCAAGAAGTTCATAGGAAGTTAACTTCCCGTCATTCAGGACGCTGCTTATAAACGATGTATACTTAGAGATCCCACATGTCCACTTCACAGTCTGTTTTTGTTGCTTGCCCCTGGGAGGAGGTTTTGAAGTATTTCTAGCAGTTCCCTATGCCATCCCTCTGGTAAACTCAAAAGATTTGTTATTCTCACCATGTACATGTATACATCCAAACTAGACTGTGTTGTTTCTCTGTGTCATATATGTATATGTATTATTTAGTTAGTTAGTCATGTTTATTTAGTGTATATTAGAGGTGGAGACCCTTTGAGAGTTGCATGCAACAAAATTTCATTTTAATGTATGCCAATTAATGTACATTCAAAGTGACAATAAGTTATTTTAAATCTAAGTCATTTCCCCAGCAATTGGAGCTTCAAACCTGGCTCATAAGTAGCCTGGGAGAAATCCATCATAAATTCAAATAGTTGTCAAACAACTGGTTGTAAATGAAGGATACTTGTATTAATAATATTTACTGAAGAATGAAGTCCAATGATTCTAGCCTAGCAGTATGAATACTACAATGTAGGAGGTAGTCCTCAATCTACGACCACAACTGAGCCCAAAATTTCTGTTGCTAGGCAAGGCAATCGGTAAGAGTTTATAAATTTTTTGACACAGTTGTTAAGAGAATCATGTGGATGTTAAGTGAATCTGGCTTCCCACATTGACTTTGCTTGTTGAAAGTCAGCAGGAAAGTTTAAAAATATTGATCACATAGCCCCAGGACAGTGCAGTTGTCGTAAATGCACGCCAGTTGCCAAACACCCGAATTTTGATCACAAGATAGAATAGAATAGAATTCTTTATTGGCCAAGTATGGTTGGATACACAAGTGTACAGTGTACATAAAACAAAAGATACATTCATTAAGAGTCAAGAATCATAACGTACAACACTTAATGATAGTCATGGGGTACAATAAGCAATCAAACCATACTAGGAAACAGTCCATATAAATCGTAAGGATACAAGCGACAAAGTTAGAGTCATACAGTCACAAGTGGGAGAGGATGGGTGATAAGGAATGATGAGAAGATTAACAGTAATAGTAATGTCGACTTTGTAAATAGTTGGACAGTGTTGTGGGAATCATTTGTATAGCAGAGTGATGGCTTTTGGGAAAAACTGTCCTTGTGTCTAGTTGTTCTGGTGTGCAGTGCTCTATAGTGTCGTTTTGAGGGAAGGAGTTGAAACAGTTTATGTCCGGGATGTGAGGGGTCTGAAAATATTTTCACAGTCCTCTTTTTGATTCATGTAGTATACGGGTCCTCAATGGAAGGCAGTTTGGTAGCCATTGTTTTTTCTGCAGTCCTAATTACTCTCTGGAGTCTGTCTGTCCTGTTGGGTTGCAGAACCAAACCAGACAGTTATAGAGGTGCAGATGACAGACTCAACAATTCCTCTGTAGAACTGGATCAGCAGCTCCTTGGGCAAGATCATGAGGATGCTGCAACGCTGGAAAATGGTGATAATTTTTCAGTGTTGTAACTTTGGTGACTTTAACAAATGGTTGTCAGTCAAGAACCACCTGTTACTGAATTTAAAAGAGTTTGTATCTACTTAAGAAGTGATATTGTCTGGCTATTTTTCCAGGGGAGAAGATTCTTGAGCTTTCTTTTCACATGGAATGTAAATTTCATTAAATTGATACATGGGACTATTAAAAATCAACTCCTGTGTTTTCCTAGGTAAGCTTCTCTTCTACCAAGAAGGTGAGTTGGGGGTTTCTTTAATTCTGGTGTTTCAGCAATGGGCAAGTCCTTCAATCTGTATAATTTGCCACGTTGCCCGTCTTTGCTTACCAATTTGAAACACTAATAACTTTGCAATAGTGGCGAATATCTGTAGCTCAGGTGTAGGATGAGGGTGAAGGTTTATTTTCTGAGCTTGTGGGTTGGTTTCCGAACGTTTCGTTACCTGGCTAGGTAACATCTTCAGTGGAGTTTAGGGGATGTCACTGTTCTTCTGGGTGTGTCAAGTGTGGGTCTTTGATTGGAGTAACATAAAAACCACTGGCCATGCTAGTGAATTCATTGAAGCCTGGCACTCCACAAGCAATTCCATCAACCGACACATTGACCTAGAACCAGCCTACGAACCCCTCAGAATCCAAATGAACTGCAGAGCCAGCCAGACACAGCACCGACCCTCAAACAACCCACACAACTCCGCTCCAACAGTTCACCTCCCAATGACCCTGACCTGATGTAATCTATTATTTTGCAGCAGAAATTCAAATCCAGAAAGCACACACAGATGACTGATTCAACAGGATTCATTAACTTCTTTATATACATAATAATATGAGTAAAATGTACAATACCAATAGTAGATTGTTCCAGTGTAACACAAGCAAAACACACCAGCAGCTTCAGAATTGAGAGCAGAGACTAGAGCTAAACCCAGGCTACTTCCAGTTTCACTTTCCAATTCAGCTCCCATTGGCTGGTCTGTTGCCACACCTATTCGTTCATTTCTTACTAAGCTCTATTCCAGTTCATGAAAAAACTCTGACAACCCCCCCACCCCCATCACAAGACTCTCACTGATGATTCACAGCTGACCCATTATAAGATCCTCACTTGACATCCCCACACTTGAAGTCCTTATTAATAGAAGAATACTTACTGATATTGTCTGAATGGGGCTGGGGAACCCAGAGTGGGATGGAGTCCATCAAATGGCTCGCGTGATCTGCTCTCATCGGGGCCGGGTGGTGGTGGGAGTTGGGTGATTTTTTTATTTTATTTTTCCAGATTTTGTTCTATTGTACTTTATTAATTTATTTGATTCGTTTTGTTAGTTTTTATTTATATTTTAAAAAAATATGGTTTTACATTGTGTAAGCCGCCTCGAGTCGCCATGGGCAAATAGGCAGCAATATAAATTCAGTAAATAAATAAAAATAAATAAATAAGCTGAAAGGTGTTACCTAGCCTGATAATTAAATGTTCGGAAACCAACCCGCAAGCTCAGAGAACGAACTTCCACCCTCATGCTAATAACTCGCAGAAAAATGCTTAGTGTTCCATTTGCAGAGAGATTCGCCTTACCTATTTGGGTACGTAAAATGGCGAATGTGTGAAGATGACAAATGCTTCTTTAAAGGTAGCTGTTTTTAAGGAGCCTTGCGGAATATTACTAGGATTTATCTCAACCGTGATTAGGAAGAAGTAGGAAGAAGAGCTAAAATGTTAGAAGCACGTGTTCACAAATATTAGAAAATAAATGTATTATTAGAAGATGCAGAGTGAGATTTTGAAGAGACTTGAACAGAGCACTTATTAGATATAGTAATTTTAGATTTAGAGGCTATAGGAATGTAACAAAAAATAAAATAAAATAAAATCCCGAGGCTTAAGCCAAATTGTTTTATATTCTACCAGCTCTCAAAAGTGCTGAACTAGAATTTTAACTTAGGGGGAGAATTTGCAAAAGGCCTGGATGCCTTCTGAATCTAAAAAAACACCTGTAAGTTCACTGAACTGTGTCTTTTATTTCACTGACCCAGGTCCCAGATGAACCATGTTGCTGAGGTTTACTTCAGAGCCTGGAAGAAAAGTTCAGGGGAAATACTAGAGGTATAAAGCTTCAGAATAATTATTATCATTACAAAATGGGTTTAAGCAAAAAATAAACAATTAACATGTTTCTTTTCCAGATGTGGGAGTACTTTCAGTGTTCATATCAATACAGATAGTCCTTGATTTACATTTTTGCCCACTTGTCTAGCCAGGAGAGTCCCAATATTACTGCATCTGTCATTTTGGGGGCCGCTACAATTGAATTGTTTCCCAGTGATCCGCTAGCTCTAGCCTCACTGATTCGGTTAAGTGTGTGGCATAGGCTCCTCCCAATAGGGAACCATTGGCCTGTTCGAACCAGATCGGGTGGGCCAACCTTTTTGCTCTAATCCCCAGTTTCAGAGCCGTGGTTAGGTTGATTAGGTATCTAGTGCAGCCTGAATCTATTAAGGCTTGGAAAGTCCCCTGAGTCCCTGTTTTTGGGGCTGTGAGCCATATTGGGAAGACGAAAGGGGGTACCGGTCCACTCACCATTGGGTCGTTTTTGCCCTCGTCCTTGCTGTCATGGGAACCATTTGAAGTTATAACAGAACACAAAGTGGAACCAGTCCTCACACTTAACCACCATTGCAGTATCTCCGTGGTCATGTGATCAAAATTGAGCAAGTGTTTGTGGTAGCTGGAGGACCCAGGGTCATGAGATCACCATTTGCAAACTTCTCAGGGGCTTCTGGCAAGCAATGTCAATACATGGTTTCATTTAATGGCCATGTGATTCACATAACAACTGCAGTGATTTGCTTAACAACTGTAACAAAAAAAAGAAAGGTAAAATTGAGTGTGATTCACTTAATAACCACCACACCACTGTTGCTTAGCAACAGAAATTCTCCCAATTGTGGTCATTGGTTGAGGATACCTTTATAGGTGTCTCACAGTGGCAAATAGCTGGATTCATGTAACATACTAAGCTTGCATTTGAATGGTTATTGGTATGAAGACAATGTATTTGGGGTTTTAAAACATGGATTTCCTGTTTTCATTTGACATGGGAGCCCAGGCAATTATGGCTTGTTCAATAAACCATGGTTAAAACAAATTTGTCTTAGCATTACACGAAGGAAAACTTTTCCGGAAAACTCATATATATATATATATATAAGTGTGTTCTGTTCAGGTG